CCTCGATGTCGTAGAAGCCGACGCGGACGGGCCCGAGCCCGCGGGGCAGCAGCGCCGGGGGCCGCCGGGGCTCGGCCATCACCATGCTGGGCTCGGGGGGCGGCGGCGGCGGCGGCTCCGGCTGCGGCTCCGCGCGGCGCCCCCGGGGCCGCGCCGCCCCCTCCGCCACCGAGCGGGCACCGAGCGACCGAGCGGCGTCACCGCGCGCGTCACCGCGGGCGGGGCCTCGCCATGGCAACCGCGCTGGCACGGCCCGCCCCGGCACGGCGCGGCACCGGGACACCGGGGACAGGGACACCGGCACCGGGACACCGGGACACCGGGGACAGGGACAGGGACACCGGCACCGGGACACCGGGGACAACCGGGACACCGGGACACCGGGGACAGGGACAGGGACAGGGACTCCGGCACCGGGACACCGGGACACCGGGGACAGGGACAGGGACACCGGCACCGGGACACCGGGGACAACCGGGACACCGGGGACAGGGACACCGGCACCGGGACACCCGTGACACCGGGGACAGGGACAGGGACACCGGGACACCGGGACACCGGGACATGGCACGGGGACAGGGACAGGGACAGTGACACCGGTACCGGGACACCGCGCGGGGACAGGGACAGGGACACCGGGACACCCGGGACACCCGGGACCGGGGACAGGGACAGTGACATTGGGACACCTGGGACACCGGGACACTCGGGACACCCGGGACACCGGGACAGTGACACCGGCACCAGGACACCGGGGGGACCGGGGACACCGGGGACCGGGACAAGGACAGGGACAGTGACACCGGCACCAGGACATCGCGCGGGGACAATGCCAGTGCCACCAGCCCCGGCGGTGGCAGCCGCGGCGCCCGCGCTGTGTCCCCACTGGAGCGTCCCCTCCGCGCTGGCATCTCCCGGTCCCTGGGGCAGGTGGCACCGCAGCGCGGCCGGGTGCCTCGGGTGTCTCCAGCCACCCTCCATGGGATGTTCTGACCCGTTTTGGGGTGGAATTTGGGGTTTTTTTTTTAAATTTCTGACCGTTGTTCCTCATCCTGTCACACCGAACAGAGCCTGTCCCCATCCTGTGACACCCTCTGGGGCTGTTTGTACACCTTGGTGACCTTGGTGACATCGCCTCAGCCTCCTGTGAGCCAAACACGCCCAGCTCGTTTTTGGATACTGAGGAACAACCCCAGGCTCTCTGCAGCTTCCCGAGGAGGGGATGAGGAGAAGGAGGTGCTGAGCCCTTCTCCCAGCCACAGGACACTTGGGGATGGCTCAAAGCTGTGTCAGAGAGGTCCAGAATGGAGATTATGGAGCATTTCTGTACCGAGAGAGTGCTCAAAGCCTCCCAGTGGCCCAAGCCTGGCAGTGTCTCAGGGGTGTTTGAATAGAGCCCTTAAATGACTTTTGTGATGTCCTGAGGTGGCCAGGCAGATGCGCAGGGTGATTTTTGCAGGTCCTTTCTCAGGGAATTATTCTTCTGTTTTTATTCCCTGCACACTTGGAAAGGCAGATTTGTGAGCTGTGTTGGTCCCTTTGGCCTGAAATGGTCTGAGGACCATCAGAGCTGAGAATGTGTGAAGAAATTTAAGGCCCTTTCTGCTGGATTTGCTTTTCAGTGCTGAATTTGCTTTTCAGCACTGAGTCCACTCATTCTGCTTTAGAATGTAAGTGTGCATTTAAAGGATGCACTTACTAAGTGAGCATTTCCAAGATGCACTTACATTTTCTAATTCCCCGTTTGTTTCAGCAATCTTTGCTCTCTGAGTTGACGCCTGTCCCTCCCTCTCCCCTGCTCCGTCCCAGGCTGGAGGACTGGTGCCTTCCTGACATTTGGGAACCAGGAATCACCCCTGGAATCTTTCAGTTCCCCTGACTAAACCAGGCCCATGCCAAAGCTGGTGGCACAGCACGTGCCCGTTGAATCAGCCACGGAGCTTTATGAACACACAGAGTGGACACAGATAAAAAAAGAAAACATAAAAAAGAGGAAAAGAGTGGAAGAACGCAAGGAACAAAGTCGTGTCATTCTTTCCCTTTTTAGGCAGGTTTGACACGTAAAGCTGCCTCATCCTCGGTGAAAAGTTCCTTTTGTTGAGTGTCAAGCAGCGATGACTGTTCTGCAGAGGGAACTGAAGGTCTCCGTGCAGAAATTAATGCTTGTCCTTCACTGCTGATGAGATCCCTCCAAGGAGTGACATTTGGGGATGACGCTGCTGCCTCGGGCTGCCATGGAGAAGCAGGGAGCTGCTGCTGCTCGATTTATCCCCTGCACAAGTTCTGGCAGTGAGTAACTGATGGCTGGGGTTAGTCAGACATCCACCCTTTCAGTGATTGATGGCTACGTGAGAGAGCCTTCCAGAATCCTCTTTGAACAGCAAATGGTGTCATCCCCAGCTGCCACTTGCCAAATTTCACTCCTCTTTCACCTCTTCTTCGCATCCAAACTCGGCGTGTCAAAAGTTGCTTTTTTTTCCTGCAGAATGTTACCTAATACTCCTCAGTCACGTCACCCCGAATGAAGTTTTTTAGCCTGCAAACATTTATTTGCTTCCTGCCCGCTTTCAAGCCTCATCCTGGTGAGGGTGAATGATTGATGATTAAGCCAGATTTGAATGATTAAAGCAGATTAATGGAAATGAACGACTGAGCCAGATTTTGGTGCTCGGAAGGGAAAACAACTGCAGAAACCTCACCACAAAGCTGGAAAGTTCAGGGCTTAAAAACAGGGCTTAAAAACGCAAGGAGAGGAACTTCACCCATAAAAATCATCCTCTGTAGGGCAGATTTCAGGGCTTCTGATGATGGTTTTTGCTCTGCTGCAAGGAAAGGGATTCAAACCCCTCCCAAACGGGGCTGAGCGGATTTTCCAGGACATCAACGTGGAGCGCACATGCCCTCGTGTGGTCGCTGCTCCCGCACATCCTCCCGCAGCTGGGATGCCCCAAAGGAGGGGTCAAACTTACAAAATCCATAAAAATTTATAAATTTTCCTCGCTTTAATAACACCCAGCTCGTTCAGACCACTGCCCGAGCCCAACCGGAGGCTCAAGAGGTCGGATCACACATTTGGCTTTGCACAGCTGAACTCCAGCATCTGACAAGTTCTCCCCCTCATTTTCCTCTTTTTCAGTACCTAAAAGATGCTTGATAGCTGCCAAAAAGAAAAAAATAAGGAGGCCAGGAACACAGGATTAAAAGTGGACAGACTTCTGCTTGATTTGCATTAATTACTGCATTAGAAACTCCAGATACCGTGAGTGCCCAGCCCTGACCACTCTCCTCTATCAAGATTTTGCTTTTCAGGAGAAATTGTTGCCCGCTGAATGCTGTTTTCAAAGCAATTAGAAAATTATTTATTTTTTAAAGGGATTTCTCCTTTCAGGGCTTTATTTGCCCCATGTCCTGGTGGAGGAACTGCTGTGACACTGCAGCCACAGCACCTGGGACATTTAGGAAGTGAGAAGCAGCTGTGACAACTGAAACATTTCAGTGTTTGCAGCAGTCAGCAGCAGCTCAGAGATCTGAAAACTTCTTCCTGCCTGTTTTGGCAGAAGAGATTCATGGCTATGCCTGCACTCAGCGCTGTTGTTGTTTCAGCCACATTTAAAACAACTTTTTGCCAAACCTTTGTTTCCTCCCAGCTTATGAATTGATTTTTTAAAATTTTCCTATTTATTTATTTACATGCAACTTTTAGGCAACCAAAACACATTTAGGTGCTTCATAGTCTTGTCCTGCAGCAGTGTTGCTCGACTGGAACCAGAACATCACCTGCAGAACAAAAGGTGTGAAATATTTGTGTTCCTGCCCAGCACTCTTTGGTTGCTCGGTCGTTCCCCTTTCACTTCTTGGTCTCTGCCCCTTCCAGCAGAATGAGGGAGGGAATTGGAGGAGTAAAAATGACCAAACTCATGGGTTGAGATAAAGAAATTTAATAGGCACAGTGAAAGTCACACACACGAGCAAAGCAAACCAAGGGGTTCCTTCCCCACCTGCCGTGTTCAGCATCTCCAGGAAAGCTCCATCACACACGACAGGGAACTTGTAGCACCTTTGAGGAGGACGAGGTCTGTAAATAAATAAGGATTTTGGATTGTCCTTCAGTTTCAAGGCATATCTTTGGTACAAAAAGGAATGGGGGGGTACTAATGTGTCATTCCTTGGTGCAAAGCAAAATCTGTACATTCCTGTCAGTTTGGATCTTTAAAAACCCCTATTCTTGCAGAAAATAGAAGAATAAGAGCACAATGCAAAACCGGGACAAACACCACACACACCATTGTCACCCTGATTTTTTAAAGTTTTTCTAAACCTTCTGATGTTTACATTCTTGTAATGAACTTTCTCACACACTTTCTGTAAATAACTGATTGTTTGCATTCTTTTATGGAGGAGGAGAAATCTGATGGACTGTTGGTTTGTCCACTGTCACTTTTGGAAATCTATAAATGTTGGGAGTCAGAAATTAAGCTTCTCTCTTTTTTTACCTTGGAGAGTTGCATGTCCACGTTGCTGTCACAGACACATTTTATGAAAAATCCTTTTGCTGGGATCTTTTTTCCAGAGAGGCCTCAGAAACAAAATGTAAACATTGATTATCTGCTGCTGTGGAATGCAACAGGTGCATCTGGGATTGGTCTCATGTGGTTGTTTTTAATTAATGACCAATCACAGTCTGGCTGTCTCAGACTCTCTGATCAGTCACAAGATTTTATTATTATTATTTTCTATTTCTTTCAAGCCTTCTGATGAAATCCTTTCTTCTATTCTTTTAGTATAGTTTTAGTATATAATTTTCTTTTAATGTAATATATATCATAAAATAATAAATCAGCCTTCTGAGACGTGGAGTCAAGATTCTCATCTCTTCCCTCATCCTGGGGACCCTCACAAAACCACACATCCTGTTATTGAACAAGTGCATAGAAAGGGCAAGAAAAGTCACGTTGACACCCAAAAATCCAAACTCCAGTGGGGTTTTTTTAGGTCCATTTCCTCAATATCCATAAATCTCATTGTCCACCCAGGTGGACTCCTTGCTCCGGCCCACGCGGTCCCCGCAGAGCTCGTAGATGTCGTTGGTGACAAAGCCACTCTCCGTGCTGGCCAGTGTCACCCAGCCCCTGCTGGAGGGGTCCTGGGGGTCCCTGCAGGGGCTCTGCAGCCCCTCGTGGGCACGGAAGGAGGAATTCTTCGTGCCAGGCCTGGCCCCAGCCAGGTCAGCTTCGCTCTGCTTGTGGAGCACCCTGGAGATGTCCAGCCTGGGGCTGTCCCTGCCGGGCTGGGGCAGCCAGGCCCGGTCACCCTTGGGGGCCACATCCAGCAGCTCCTGTCTCCTGAGGAGGGGAAAAGGGAAAAAATATAAAAATAGCACAGAGGAAAACAAAAAGCAGAGCTCTAACAGTGATTTGGTGACGGGCTTTGAGCAAAGCTGGGCCCAGGATGTTCCTTATTCCAGGCTGCTCTCCTGGGAAATCCCAGGACATGCTGAGGGCTGCACCAGCAGCTCCTGTCTCCTGAGGAGGAAAAAAGGGAAAAAATATAAAAATAACACAGAGGAAAGCACAAACTAACAGCAGAACTGTGACAGTACTTTGAGCAAAGCTGGGCTCAGGACATTCCTTATTTCCAGGCTGCTCTCCTGGAAAATCTCCGGGCAGGATCTGCTGAGGGCCACATCCAGCAGCTCCTGTCTGCTGAGGAGGGCAGGGCAAGAGGGAAACAACAAAATAGAGAGGAAAACACAAACCAACAGCAGAACCCTGACAGTGATTTGGTGATGGGTTTTGAGCAAAGTGGGCCCAGGATGTTCCTTATTCCAGGCTGCTCTCCTGGGAAATCCCAGGACGTACTGAGGGCTGCACCAGCAGCTCCCGTCTCCTTGGGAGGGCAGGGAAAAGGGAAAAACCATGAAATAACACAGAGGAAAACACAAACCAACAGCAGAGCTCTGACAGTGATTTGGTGATGGGCTTTGAGCAAAGCTGGGCCCAGGACATTCCTTATTCCAGCCTTTCCAGGCTGCTCTCCTGGGAAATCCCACGACCTGCAGAGCTCAGAGGTTGGGGCAGCAAAACTCCTCCTGACACTCCCAAAATCCCAGCCAGCATTCCCCTCCAAGCTGCTGTGCACACAGAGAAACCAAGGAGAGGACATTGCTAAACATTCTCTGCTCCAAATTCTTATCCTTTCATTTGCTGCATTTTTTGCTTTTGAAGGGGAACTTCTGAAATTCAAATCTTTATTAAAAAGGGTTAACACATCAAAATTGTAATCTTGATGATATTTTTTCCGGCCTCCTCTACAAAAATGTGATTTACATAGAATTTTACTTCTCAATTAACCCAGCCTAGAGCATCAACACCAGTTTTTCAGCATTTCTCTGGCTGCAAACGCTCCTGTGCAGAGCTTTTTCCAGGATGGTAAAATTAGCTGTGAACAGGACAAGGTGTCACTGCTAATTCAGAACACAAAAATTCCCCTCACCTCTTCATGAAGAGCCAAAAGCAGGAGATGCCTGTGATGGCCAGCAGGAGAAGCAGCACAGGAACGCTGGAAATCAGGATGAAGGCAAGGCCCTGAATGGGTTCTGGGGGCAAAAATGAAGCAGGGTCATGAGAAGAAATTGCAAGTTTTTCATGGTTTATCACAGATGTACAAACAAAACATTCACAATAAATATAATAATAAAATTCACAATAATAATATAATATTCACTGTAAAACACTCACAATAAACATAATAATATAATTCACAATACTGAAATAATAAAAGTGGTTTTTTCACACCCAAAATACTTGGCATAGCTTTGGATTTTGAACATTTTTACCTCCGGAGCAACCTCCTTATTCTGTCCTGGAAAATATTAAGGGAAGTTTTTTTTCCAGAGGTTGTTTTCTATATTCAGTCTTCCACACTTGGAGCCAAACACTTGAAATGAGGTTTTGAGAGCAGAATTTACCTCTGGCTCTCCCAGCTGTTCCATTGGCACCTTTCCTCCAGCGTTCCTCTGGGAACTTTGGCTTCCAGGCCTCTGTTGCCACAGCTGGAAAGAAGCAGCTTCATTAATTCTGCAGATTCTTTTTTTAATTAATAAAAAAAGTGAGGCTGAGAGGAGATTGAAGAGGCTGGGAGCTGCAAAGATGTGTGAGGTGCACTGGGATTCTTGCACTGCCATCCCTGCAGCATCACCAGCAATGGGGTTTTCCTTGCAGGATGGGGCAGGGAACAGCACAGGGGAAATGCAAACTGCAGGGGAGATTCTTTTTGGGTGTCCTTGACAATGAATGGCTGATAATTTAATAATTAATAATTGAAATAATTACTTTAATGATTAAAATATTTTAATAATTTTAGAAAAATTCCCATACAAATCTGTCCAACTCACCTCTTCGGGAATTGTCTATTGGAGCTCTCGTTGGCTTCTCTGGAGGAAAAGAGAAATGCAGAATTTCCCCATGAGTGAAATGCACAATTTCTTCTGTGTTCTCCCCCTATCTGAGACCTCAAACCCCTCATGAAAACCCCCAGGGAATTTATGCAAACCACAAGCAGCTACGGACACTGGGATGTTTTCCTGATTTGCTGAATAAATTAAAAACTGAGGGAGGCTCTCCTGTCCCTGTTAGGTTGGATGTGACACACACACGTGCTCAGTATGTAAGTAGAAAAAGTTTTTATTCTGTCTGTTCTCCAGCTTATATACTCTTAATAAAGCCTGATCTTAAATCAGTAACTACACCATAATAACTGATTATATTCATTGCTGCAAGGCAATTAGTGCCAATATAATTGGTAAGTGTTACAGAAAATTCTGTAAGTTTACAGCATTTCTGTAAAACAGAAATTTTGTAAATTCTGCGAAACGGAAATTCTGTTTCGCAGAATTTATGTATAACTTAGAGAAATTTCTGTAAGTTTTACAGAAATTTAATAAGGCAAGTATACACATCTACTTATGCACGTAGTCCAGATCACAAAAATTTTCAGGTATCTTTTCTAATCTGTTCCCATGCTGACAGCCTTGTCTCCTTCCTTGCTATGGATACACTGGAAAACCATCAATTATTATTTAATTATCAATTGTTGTTTAATTGTTGGAGATTTTTGCTCAGACATGGCTTGAAGGAAAAAGGCCATGACAATATACAGCTGATGGAAAAGTAAAAGGCTGCTGTAAGCAGCTAATTCTCACAGCCTGTTTCTGTAAACAACAAGAGTTCTCAGGCGTGTTTATGTAAACAGCAGAAGTTCTCAGGTTGTTTTTAATAACAAGTAAATATCTTGTCCTTGGATAAGGTATGGGAAAGCAAAAGTGACAAACATGAAGGCCTTGAGAACCTTTCATACCAGGGTTCTCAGGCAGTTTTCTCATAACAGGTGAACATTCTATCTTTGGCTGTTTTGGGAAAGTAAAAGTAAGTTTTGAGAACACAAATCTTGGTATTGAAAACAAAAGGAGGGGTTGATGTGTAATCTCTGACCTATGGTGAGCTCGAATTTTGCAATATGCATGAAGTTAATTAACAGTGTTATAAAAGGTGGCTGATTTGATCAATAAATTGGAGTCGATGCCGAATCAACAAAGATGGGTCGTCTCCCTTCACTTCAATATTTAATCATCAATTATTATTGATTGTATTAATTCAGCTTGTCTTGCAGACCAGCCCTCAAGCCCCTCTATAATTTCCCTATCACCCACCACCCTCCTCATTCCCCCTCCTGCAGGCCTGCAGCCCCACAGGGCCTCCTCACCCAGGGAGTATTTGCAGATGAAGTTGTTCTTCATGGTGCACCTGTCATCGTTCCACTGGAACATGTAGGGACCCCCCAGCCCAGGGGGGGCAGAGGGTTGGTGGTAGAGCACCACGCACACCTCGCCCCCGCACGACGGCTCGTCCACGTACCAATTCCTGGGGAAAAACACACAAAAACCACCTCAGGGCCAGCTGCCAGCAGCTTGGAGGGGGAAAAAAGCAGAGCTGGAGGGGTTGTGGCACACCCTGCAGCTCCGCTGGGGAAATGGGAGGGATGAAATGCAGTTGTTTGTTCTTTGAATTCAGATTTTTCAAACTCTGCAAGCAAGTCTGACAGATATCAGCGAGCAAAGGGCGGAGCCCCTCATAATTTCCCTTCCCTCTGAAGTTCCCTTCCCTCTGAAGGGAAATTCCCTCTGAAGGGAAATTCCCTCTGAAGGGAAATTTCCCTCCACTGAAAATGAAAAATGGGAGTTATGAAATGCAGTTGTTTGTTCTTTTAATTCAGATTTTTTCAAACTCCGCAAGCAAAGTGTTCAACAAGTATCAGTGAGCAAAGGGCTGAGCTCATCACAATTTCCCTTCCCTCTGAAGGGAAATTCCCTCTGAAGGGAAATTTCCCTCCACTGTAAATGGAAAATGGGAGTTATGAAATGCAGTTATTGGTCCTTTTAATTCAGATTTTTCAAACTCCACAAGCAAAGTGCTTGACATATATCAGCGAGCAAATGGTTGAGCTCCTCACAATTGCAACTCCCTCTGAAGGGAAATTGCCTCTGAAAGGAAATTTCCCTCCACCGAAAATGTAAAATGGGAGTTATGAAATGCAGTTGTTTGTCCTTTTAATTCAGATTTTTCAAACCCTGCAAGCAAGTTCTACAAATATCAGTGAGCAAAGGCCTGAGCTCCTCACAATTTCCCTTCCCTCCTTCCTGTCCCAGTCAGCATTACCAAAAGGTCTCAGCTAGTGCAATTAACAGATTTTTATAATGATCTTGAAACAAATTTATTTCTTAAATGTAGTGGCAATGAGCATGGACACCATGGAGTAAACCAGAAACGAGGATTCAGTTCTGGTCCCTGGGTACAACTTTAGGAATGTGGGTTTAGAATTCACTATTTTCTCGTAGACAAGGTCATTTCTTGAACAATAAAATAGCTCAAAATGAGCTGCAATTGTGCAGAGAAAGTCCAAGTTCTCCTGACTTCACTGAGCCTTGCAGAGGAGCTCAATTTTAACACTTAATTTTAAACCTGTGCAAAAATCATCATTTTTGCTCTCTCAGTCTCAGTGCCTGGGATTTTGGCACCTATTTAATGAAGAAAACTAAAAATCTGAAGCAGAACCTGCCTTCCTCTGTCAGAAATGCACCACCACAGCCTTGCAGATAATTTCTTTTTTTTGTTTTCCAAGAATAAACCTCACCACCAGCCACCTGTGCTGCTTTTCCAGGCAATGCACAGGAGGGAGGATTTTACAGTGCACTGTAAAATCACTGTTGGTGAGGAGATATTTTATGCAGCTCAGAAAACACCTCTGAAACCGCCCTGATTTTGCCAATTGTTCAATCCCCACTGATTCTGGAACGAGCAATGTTCTGCCTGCCAAAAATTATGGATAAGACATAAATAATTCCAGATTTCCTGAGGTTCTCAGCATGGGAGAACACCCATTTTAAATGGTGTTTTTCCAGCCATTCCAATGCTTTATTCCTCCCTCACTTCCTTCCTCCCCTGGTGTTTTCCTTGGCTCTGTCATTCAGCAGAAAGAAGAGTGTCTCACCAATGGAAGGCAGCAAAGCCGTGCCTGTTTCTTAGCAGCAGATTCTGGTTCCAGCTTCCCATTATCCACCCCCAATATCTGAGCCACGGGAGAGACTTTAAGATATCAAATAATGCTAAAACCTGCTTTTATTTGTTCATTTCGGAGTGACTGAAATGCCTTATGGGCTGCTCCCAGAGCAAAAAAGGTCAAAATTTCAAGGTGGTTTTTACATGTCTGATATAAGGATGCAAATTGGTGTCAGCGTTGCTGCTTTTATAATTTAATTATAACAAATCCTGTGGTTCCTTAAGACAAGGAGGCAGAAATCTAAAAAGTGCTGTGAAAACTTAGTTTTACATGTCTGCAATAAATCCTGCAGCTCTAATATTTTGCTGTCTCACAGGAAAAAATGTTATTCCCTCAGGAAGGGAATCACATTTTCATTATTCAGGGTATCAGGTATAAACTTTATGGGATCTGCAGTGCAGGAATCTTCATCAGGGGAATAAAATTTTTCATTTTTCAGGACATCAGGTACAAACTTCATGGGATCTGCAGTGCGGGAATCTTCACGTCATTTGTAGCTGCCTGATCAGAGATTCTAAGGCCACACCACTTGTTGTTTCCCCTCTTTTAGCCCCCAAAAATGATCAATTTAGCCTAAAGCAGCCACTCCCATGGAGCACCACCAGGAGGGTGATGGGATGGGTGCAGAAGTGCCACCGTCACATTTTCTGAAAAATCTGTTTGCCCAGGATTTTTCTCCTGGGAAGCTGGGAAGCCTCAGAGAAAAATGGAAACAATAATTATCTGATTCGCTTCTCGTGTGTTTTGCTGCTTTGGAATGCGGCTGGAGATTGTTTCATTGCCTTCATGTGAATTGTTTTGAACAATGTACATGGAATTGAACAATTGAACAATCCATATCAAATTAATGGCCAGTTGGAGCTAAGTTGTGTCAGACTCTGAGAAGAGAGTCAGGAGTTTTTCACTATTATCTTTTAGCCTTCTGTCTGTATCCTTTCTGTAATCTTTAGTATAGTTTAGTATAAGTAATATAATATAACATAGATCATAAAATAATAAATCAGCCTTCTGAGAACACGGAGTCAGAGTAACATTCCTCCCAACAATGGGGACCTCAGAAAACACAACACCGAAGGAGCACAAGTGACAGCTGGGACATCCCTGCCTGGATTTCTTGGACAAAATCCTGAATTCCCGTGCCAGCCCCACTGTGGCACCCCCATGTACCCACCGAAATTTGGACGAGCTCCCGTCTGACCAGGAGTAGAAGCGGTGACACTCAGTGCTGTTGTCCCCCTCCTCCTTCCTCCTCCTGAGCCCAATCCAGAAGTCTCCATCCGAGGCCAGGAGGCTCCTGATCAAGGATTCGATCAGCCTCTGCTCCGCTGGGCTCTCGATGCTGACCAGGTGTCCCCCGTCAGCCCTGCAGGCCAGGTGAGCCTCCTCGTAGCTGGTCCTGCGGGAGGCGTCGTGGAAATAAACGATTTTGTAGCAGGGTTTCTGCGTCCCACGCCTGCACACCGTCTGCCCTGCAGGGAGGGACAGAAAGCTGTCACAGGGACGGCGCTAAACGGCATCAAAATTAAAATAAAACATCGGTTTGCGTGAGTTTTGTGCTGTTTATGTGGAAAATACAACACGGGTAAAAGGCTTTTGTGTTACTAGGCTGGCAAATGGCATCTCCAAGTTTTTATTGCTGAATCTCAAAGTTTAGGTCCTTTCATGTCCTGCTCTTCTTGTGATTTTTCTGGGATTTGCAGATCCTGGGAGTTCCTCCCAAAGAAACACTGTGCCAGAGCAAGCTGGCACATGCAACCTCTTAAAAAGCTAAGTTCCCTGGCAAGGGTTCCAAGACGTTTTTTAAAATTATTATTATTTTTAAGGAGTTAAATGGTCAAAATTAGAGATTTCCTTATACAAGCAGAGATAGCAAGAACTTATCTTTTATGCAATATGTATCTATATGCAATAATATATATCTATATGTAATATAAATATACTATAGATATGAAATGTATATAATATATATCTCTATGCAATATAGATATATAGATATGCAATAAAGATAAAATGTATATTATATCTATAGGCAATAAATATACAATTTAGATATGCAATATAGATAGAATATAAATTATATATATATGCAATATAGATATATAGATATAATATAATATAGATATATAGATATAATATAGATATAATATATTATATCTCTGTGCAATATAGATATATAGATATGCAATACAGATAAAATATATATTATATCTATATGGAATAAATATACAATATAGATATGCAATATAGATATAATATACATTATCTATATGCAATAAATATAGATATAATATAATATAGATGTATAGATACAATATATATTATATCTCTGCAATATAGATATGCAATATAGATATATCTATATTCAATATAGAGGTACAGATATGCAATATAGATATAATATATCTATGTGCAATATTTCAATGGATATTGCAGTGCCACAGAATCCCAGAATACTTGGGGTTGGAAAGGACTTCAAACCCTCTCATGGGGACACCTCCCACCATCCCAGGCTGCCCCAAGCCCAGTCCAGCCTGGCCTTGGGCACTCCCAGCATGGGACATCCCCTCTGGCCAGGCAGGGCCTCACCACCCTCACAGGGCAGAATTTCTGATTTACATCCAACCTCAAACTTTCATTTTCAGTATCTGTACTGGAGATCACAATTTAAATTCCCACAGCCCAATCTCCAGCTCTGCAATGTTTCTGCCTGCCCAGGGAGTAAACAATGTCTGTTTTCAGGCTGTCACAAGCCAAGGACTGTCTCATGCAGGAGCAGCAGAGCTTATTTTGGTTCCGAGGGAAGATCAAAGTGAAAAGACACATCATCCAAAATGATGCACTCGGGCGTTTTTTTCAGCAGAGCAGTCCCAATATTTAGACTGTGGAAACAAACAGCTTTGTTTTGCTCAGTAAATATTTCTTTGCAGGCACAATCTGCTAACCTACATGTTTTTACAGAAGGAAAACATTCAGCAACACTTGTGGTGTGCTTGGAACAAATGGATAATACAAGGACAGGTCACTACAAACCCTGCCGTGGGATCACTGCTGGCGTTGCTTTATCCTTGTATGTTGGTCACTGGAGGAGTGGGAGTTTAAACACCTTTCCTACTGGAATTTTTCAGCAGTTAAATAGCCAGAAATGGAGTTTGCTAACATTTTGCACAGGGATTACAACAGGAGCAGGATTTTTACTATGACAGCGCTACTAAAAAATACATTTCTAGCACAGCCTGTGTTTCTCTTGGCAGTTTGACACTCTGAGAAAAAGGCAAAGCCCCTTACCTCTTCTGAGGGAAATGTCCACTGCTGCTGGGAGAGGCAAAAGGAAAACAGACAGCAGAGTGTCATTAAAAACCTGCAAGTCTCTAGCAACCCTCACAAAAACTGCACTCAGCTCTTCCCTGGTACACAAACACATTCTTTCCTCATTAAAAAAATAGAGGAAGAAAGTCTGTGCCTTATCAGCCGATTGCCATTGCTTTCAGCAGAGGAAATTCGCTGGAGCTGATTTCTGGCTGGATTTCAGCGCTCGGTTTGGGAGCCGGAATGCGCAGCTCCGAGCCAGCCTGAAAGGATTCCTTGTGCTCCTTCCCCTTCATCTCCTCCTCGCTCGGGGTCTGACTCCAGCGAGCGGCCCGGGGCAGGGCGGCGGGGAAAACCAGCCGGAAAAGTTGGAGAAGATCCCCAGAACGACCGAACCCAACCTCTCCCTGCATCACCGCGGGGCGACAGCATCCCTGCCCGTGTCGCGACAGCGCATCGCGACCCTCCCAGCCACAGAGGCGGGGGTGGCGGGGCCGGAGGGATATTTTTGGGTTAGAGAGGAACCTTACACGATCTCGGAGCGATGCCCAGCGATCCCCAGCCCCTCTTACCGCTGAGCAGCCGCGCCCCCGCCGCGCATCCCAGCGCGGCCGCGCACAGCGCCGCTGCCGCCAGCATCGCTCCGCGGGACGGGACGGGACAGCGACAGCTCCTCCTTCCTTCCCTGCCTTCCTTCCTCCTTTCTCTGCCTCCTTCCCTCCTCTTCCTCCTCCCGGGCTCAGTCCCGGCCCCGCGGAGCCGCCGCTGCCCCGGCGCTGAGCGCGCTCCCCGAGCCCCGCATGGCTCTGCCCGCATCCCTCCGACCCCGCTTTATGTCCCCATGGAACCCCCCCCGCCCACCGGGAACCACCCACGGGCGGGTCCGGCCCCGCGCTGGCCAGTTGGGATCGTTTGTTTGTTTATTTATTTATTTATTTATTTATTTTTCGAAAGGGTTTTCCTTTGCTTTCCAAGATGTGGGTTTGCTGCGGGGAAGCGGGATGAGCTTTACGGTTTCCTGTCACTCCAGCCAACCACTGACCTATTTTATCCATCCCTGATGTTTTTTTACATTTAGAAAAGCTTTCTAAATCTAACTATTTGGAATTTTTTTGTTTGTTTGTTTGGTTGGTTTTTTTGGAAAGGGTTTTCCTTCACTTTCCCAGCTGTGGATTGATTTGCTGTGGGGAAGCAGGATGAGCTTTATGGTTTCCTGTCACTCCAGCCAACCACTGATCTATTGTATCCATCCCAATCCCAGCTTTGTAGATCTAACTATCTGGAGATTTTTTTTGTTTGTTTGTTTGTTTGTTTTGGAAAGGTTTTTCCTTCTCTTTCCCAGATGTGCATTTGCTGTAGGATGAGCTTTATGGTTTCCTGTTGCTCCAGCCAACCACTGACTTCTTTAATCCATCCCAATCCCAGTTTTCTAAACCTAGCTATTTTCTAAAGCTAACTACTCTAAATCTAACTACAGAACCATTGCATATTCTATATTCCATTCTATATTCTGTATTCTTGAATCTAACTATTCTAAATATTCTGAGTAGGAAGGGATCACCACAAGGATCACTTCAAGTGCAAAATCCTGGGATTGGCTCCAAAATTTCAGCGTTTTTAGCCCTGGGAAGGGAAAGCACAGCAAGGGAATTGTGATTCCTGCATGGATTCTTGGGAAGCTGCTCCACACCTGATTCCTGCAGCCCAGGCTCTCCATCCAGCCCTGTTTATGGAATTTGGGCCAAGCAGACAGACTTAGTTCAGCATTTTAATAAACTTTGAGAAGAGGAAGTGCTTAATAGGAACCAACTGAAAAGCTTAAATAAAGGAGGAAGGAAAAAAAAGAGGCTTTTATGTCCAAAATGAAGACGTCATTCCTGAAAGTACCTTTTGAAATCTTGTTTTCCAGCTTATTTCTCCAATCTCTGCACATATCAGCTTTAATATCTCAGTGCTCCTCTGTACAACTGAGGAATTAAATTGTGTTAATTCAGATATTTGGTTCTTAACCTTCAGCTCATTTGTCTCTGCTTTGTATCCTGGGAATTACAGCAGGAGGAAGGAAAAGCCTTAATAGAATCCAGACCTCTTACTTCTGGATTTTATTCTCCTGATAAACATCCGGCCAGGCCAGGCCAAACCATTATAAATCAGTGAATCTGTATTTCACTGCTGATAATAATAAAAATCCCCAAATGGAATTCTGGCTTTATTGCTCAAATCCAGTTTCTGAGAGCTTTTTAGGGAGCGGAGCAGCCAGTTTGGTAATTTGGTTATAAACTGAGTGTTTGTGTTTCAGCGAGGAAAAACTTGGAGACAGCAATGGAAAAAATAAAAAATAAAAAATAGAAAAAATAACAATGGCCAGGCTGTCAAGATTCCTTTCATATTAAACGGAGGAATTTAGACTCACTGCCTTGTTTCTTGTGGTTTTGAGATAGAAAATTGTCCTTAATAACTTTTTTTAGCGCTCTTAAACTTCATTTACCTCCTGTGCCTGGCCTGGAATTTCAGAGTTCCCCAACCTGCAGGATCCTCTTTGCTTAAGGAATTCTTTTGATGAACTCACATTCTCTTCCCAGATTTATACAATTTCCAGGGTTTGCTCCTTTGGATTTATTCACATCTGAATCAAATCTGAAATCTGGATTTGAACACTAAGCAATATCCGTGACTGACAATAACCTGAACATTATTCTTATTCTATCCGCTGCATTAATTTGAATTTTCTTAGACTTATGGGATGCTTTTAGGGTGTCCTATATTTGTGTAACACCATTTACTGCTTCAAATGAATCTTTATGGCTGCCCAAAGCTGCAAATCCTGGCTTTCATCCCTGCTTGGAAAACCCCTCCAAACCCATCAAGTGCAACCTTCCAAGGAATTAAGAAAAAAAATTAAGAAATAAAAAGAAAGGGAAGCCTCAGTGAACTGCTGCTGGCTGCAGGCAGAATTCAGAGCAGACTAATGGCTGGTGATGGATGAGATTCCTTCTGGGATTATTGATGGGGAAGGGGGGATTGCTGACTCTCAGGAAAGGTTTGCAGAGCTCAGCACCTCCTGCAGATTGCTCTGCCTGGCCTGGCTCCCAAACCCAGCTCTGCACCGAAAATGGGGAGTGCTGAGCTAAAATTAGGGATAAAAGAAATCATAATTGCAGAGTCAGGCTGAAAATGCAATTTCTGTGCTTAATGGTTTGCCTGAGATTGCTTTATTTGTGGGAGTTCTGTTGATGGTGAGGCTCACTAATTAACCAGGTCAGTAATTGGGGTTCCAGCAGAAGTTTCCATCTTTTTTCAGGCCATTTCCACTCCAGTCCACTTCCAGTTCCCAAACGCAGCTTTTCACTAAAAATGGGGAGTGCTTTACTAAAATTAGGAATAAAAAAAAAGGAGAATTGCAGAGGCAGGCTGAAAATCTGAGTTTGCTTTATTTATATGGTGAGACACACTAATTAACCAGGTCAGTAATTGGGCCTCAGCAGAAGTTTCCATCTCCTTTCAGGCCATTTCCACTCCAGCCTGGCTTCTCCAAGGATGGAGAAGAGCTGCCACCACAGGTTTTAATTTCATTTATTCCACCAGAATAAATGGAGGGAGATGTGAGAACAGAGGCCTTGCTGAGCCCAGTCAGAATGGGAGTCAAAACCTGCAAATTTGGAGGAGAAAAAACCCAAAAATCCATTTTATCCTCATGTTTTTTAATGGAAATGAGGTGGATCACTGGGAAAATTATCTTGACAGGAGGGCAGGTCATGTTTTATTTCACTGCCTGTCTGTTGGTGCTGATCTCTGGTGTGCTCAGCCTGATTCCTGCTCCCCAATTCCTGCTCCCAGCGTTCCAGACCTGTTCACCTGGCTGTGTGGCTAGTGATTGTTGCTTTGGGCAATCAGCTAACCACACTGCCTGGCGGCCAGGCTGAGGGCAGAGCCTGTCCCTGTTCCTGTCCCTTCTTCCAGCCTGGTCTAATGAGCTCTCAGAGGTCATAACACCTAAATATGGATACAGCACAATATAACCAATATAACACACCTAACAGTATAACACGCCTATACATAGATATAACACAATATAACCAATATAACACAGCTAACAATATAACACAGCTAACAATATAACACACCTATATATAGATATAACACAATATAACCAATATAACACAGCTAACAATATAACACACTTATATATAGATATAACACAATATAACCAATATAACACAGCTAACAATATAACACCCCTATATATAGATATAGCACAATATAACCAATATAACACAGCTAACAATATAACACACTTATATATAGATATAACACAATATAACCAATATAACACAATATAACCAATATAACATACCTATATATAAATATAACACAATATAACCAATATAACACACCTGTATATAAATATAACACAATATAACCAATATAACACACCTAACAATATAACACAGCTAACAATATAACACAGCTATATATAGGAACAGCACAATATAATCAATATGACACACATAACAATATAACACAGCTAACAATGTAACACACCTATAAATAGATATAACACCATATAACCAATATGACACAGTATAACCAATATAACACATCTGTATACAGATATAACACAATATAACCAATATAACACAGCTAACAGGATTCCTGGTCCAGGAAAATTCCTGAGGATTTTAGCACCAACTTCAAGAAATCTAAGATTTTACTTCAAGTTACCAACGTGCAGCACATGCTGCTGTGGGCAAGTGAAACTCTGGGAACAAAGCTGTGGATAAATCCCATTATTGATGATTTTGCAGTAGGAAAAATGGAATGCTGTGCCTTGTTTTGGTGGCAGTGAAGTTAGTGATTGTGGGTGATGGAGACAATCAGCTAACTACACTGCCTGCAAACCAAGCACTTCTCCTGGAGTCATGGAATTCAAACCTGGAACGAAAGAAAAAACTTCCAGTTGTTATATTCATAGTCTCCATCTCCCCAAATGCTCTTAAAATAATACAGAATTGGAAATAATGCAAAATATTGGTCACATCATCCTTATTCTGCTAAATTCCAAATAGATATGTTTATATTATTCATATTTACATTCATATTTACATTCATATTTACATTTATATTTATATATATTTCCATTATATGTAAATACACATATTTACATCTATGCCCAATAAAAATTAGAGGTAAATATATATATTAGATATATATTTCTATTAGATGTAAATATACATCAAAAGTACATATTTAGATATATATAAACATATTATAAATATCCTATAAATATATATTTATATTTGTAGCTATATTTATATTTCTATTCATATTTCTATTATTATTCATATTCTCATATAGTTTAAATATATTTATGTAAAATATTTATATATATATTTAGTATTTAGATTCCTCCCTGCTCCCTTCCCCAGGAGCCTTTTCCTGGCAGAATTCCTCTGGGGATGCTCCCACCCTTTCCCCTGGGATGTTCCCATCTTTTCCCCATGGATTTTCCCACCTTTTCCCCTGGGTTGCTCCCATCTTTTCCCTGGGTTGGTCCCATCTTTTACCTGAGGATGTTCCCACCTTTTCTCCTGGGTTGCCCCCATCTTTTCCCTGAGGATATTCCCACCTTTTCCCTGGGGATGTTCCCATCT